ATATTCATAACTGCACAAAACAGCATCTGTAGCATCTCACTGGTCAACTATTCTTTTCACTCTGTTGTCATTTAACCATTTAACTGCCCATCTGTGTTACCTGGACCTACACCACTAAAGATACCATGTTTAAATATCCTTTTTTACCATAATATGGACCAAATAAACATTTTAGTTTTATTTTGGATGCTTTGATGATCTTGCTTTGCACACAGAAACAGTTATTTCACAAAAAACTAACAGCCGAGTCGGTTGTCTATCCTTTTTGCTTGATAGAGGCCTGCTGTAACTCCAGCCCATTCGTCTTAGGAGAATCTCTCAAGCTCCTCCAGATTTGATGGTCTTCTGGCATGGTCCTGTTGGTGTTCAGTTCACCCCACTGTGGGATTCTCAGTGGGATTCGAGGGCTTTGTGCAGGTCAGTCATTAACATTCACTTTGGTCTTCTGGAGATCTGGAGTTCTTTACTACGAGGACCCAGATTACTTTCTTTATGATTCCTTTTACCTTGACCAGATTCCCAGTCCAGAAAACATTAAAGCATCTCCACAGCATATACTCCCACCATCATATTTCACAGTGGGGACGGTGCTCTTTAGTTGCACTCCCTACTTTCTCCAAACACAAGCAACATTTCTGTGGCCAAAGAGCTCTAGTATTGTCTCTACCAAAGGACAAGCTTCCAATATGCATTTTTCCAGGTTCTTCAGGGCACACTTCAGTCTGGCTTGATGGTGTCTCTTCTGCAGTTTTGCTCACTCTGTAACCTCACAGTCCATTCCTGCTCAGGATTCCAGTGATTGTCTCCTATCAGACTACAATTCCCGACTTGGCTAAGTCATTCCCGAGTGTCTTGGCAGTTGTTCTGGGGTCATCAGACACCTCGTTGAAATCTTTGCTTCTTACCTCTATCAGGCTTGTTCTGTATTGTGTGGCTTGATGATGCTTCTTACTCCAGTTCTTGACACTTTGTATCTCCATCTTCTGCTTAGTGATCAACAATTTCTTTTTCCTGACTCTAAATATTTTTCCTTGGTTTGTGTCATGATGCTTTCACAGGTGACAGCTCAAACACTTGCAGATTTTTATGGACTGTGTGTAAATTGATAGATGACCCTCAACTTGATTTTACAAACTGAGTCTTATAAAGCAGAGGTCCCCAACCCCCGGGCCTCGGACCGGTACCGGTCCGTGAGTCGTTTGGTACCGGGCCGCGAGAGTTGAGGCTCAGGTGTAAAATGTGTAGTTTTCAAGGTTTTTATTGGTTTTCAGCGTTATTTTGTTATCGTTTTTATCGTTTACTCGGTTTTCCTGGGTCTTTTCACGTGTGTTATGAATAAATCTTCTTTTTTTCGGTACCGGTACTAGTTTTATTTTGTTGTATTTATCCACGACACCTTTTGTTAAAAATCTGTTGCTCTTTTGTAAAATGGGACATTTTTGATACACACTTTAAATTTAATAGAGGCACTAATAATTTGTCCTCATATGGATCCATTTATATACAATCTATGGGTAATAACATGTTCTTTTATCTGCTCTACAGCAAATAACCACTGTGAGAAATAAGCATTAAAACCATGAAGAAGGATTTCTGCCAAACTATCACCTGGATGACATCTGACAAAGAAATAGTTTTGAGGAGGACCTTCTTCATGATGGTTTAGGGAGATTTATCCTCACAAGTCTGTAGTGAGTATGTGATTACTGTGTGCCCTGACTCAACTGAGAGGACTGATAAAGTCAGATTTAAACCCTGAGCTGAAGTTCCACGTGTCCTTTGTCAGGTGGGGTGTCATGTGAGACGGTATCTGACCACGGGAGGACGGACACAGTCCCACATCTAGCCTAAAGATGTCTGATCAAACAAGATTTTATTTTTTTATTCTAAAATATTAACTGCTCTTTTATTAAACTCCTCGTGATACTTGCTGCTTTACTTCTCCGTCTCCTGTCCTGTGCAGCTTGTTCAGTTTTGCAGGTCTGACCTCTCTGCATACTGTTACAGTCTCCCTCATTGCTGCTGCTGTGTGTTCTGTGGTCCCAGTATTTAGTGAATCCAGCAGTGAAGCTGTTTGTGAGTTTTGGATCCTTCCATGTCTCACACAGCATTTTATGACGTTACGTAGATTTTCGCTGCTCATTATATTCTCATTAAAAATGTCTAAAACAAGCTGCGTATGTCAAATTTATCCAGTTGTGTTTTCAGGATAAGAGTCAGGAAAAACAATCTTCCTCTTAGAGTGTTCAAGTTTGCCTCATGTGTACTGTATAAGTATTTCATGTTTAAGTGTTCCTCTTGTACCTGGCAACGTGCCACTTCCTGTCCACCAGGAGATGGACATCCTCAATGCGTTGATTGTTGGCGTAGTGCAGTCTCTTTGGCAGGTGCTGCTTCAAGTACGGTTTGAAGTGCTGGTCTGCTTTCTTACACTACAGGAAAACAACATGAGCGGAGAGCTGACTGACACGTCTATTTCATGTTTCTTTCTTTGCATCATTTTTGTCTTTTACAATACTGCACATGCTTTTCTGTCTCCACA